TGACACCTTGAGGTCAGCTCATGATGATGGGTAAGGACCATATGTAGTATTGGACAACCTAAGACAGGCATGGTCCCTAAGCCACATGCTTATTGTTTAATTAAACAGAAGGGGGGAGATGTTGAGAGCCACAGCGAGTCGGAATGGCCCCTGGCATTTTGCCAGAAGTAATGGTTGAGAGGTGAGCCATTAAGATGATGCTGGATTGAAACAGGCTGTGTATTCAATTGTATATAGACCCCTGCTGTCTGCCTCAGGCACTCGCTACTTTGGAGTTCTCGGGAGGATTTCTAGGGAGTTCACGTTGGTTGGTGAGGTTCCAGTGGAGGGAGTTCCGGTTGGTGTGTGGTGTCGCTGGAAGGACCGCGTAGGTGGCGTTTGGGGGAGTTCGGAAATAAAGTTTGTTCCTGCTTGAGTGGCTCGTGATTTGTGCCCAGCCAGACTGAGGAATACAAGTGTGGAAAAAGTTTGCACTTTACCAGTCTACTTTAACCCTTGTAGTTACTTTTATCTCAAAGGTCAATGCCACAGTGTGGTGGACTTGCCCTTTGGCGTCCACCTTAGCAGGGAGGGCAAGTTCTTGCAGGTGGAAACTGAGCTTTGAAGCTTGCTGGCCAGGCTGGACAGCCGGGTCCCCTGATGCTGCAGATGAATTTAACACAGGACGCTGTACCTGTGCTTAGAGACCCTAAGAGGCCTCTGTGAGCGAGCCTCCACTTCCCCACCTGTTCCTCCGGCTGAGGGCAGTTCTTGTCCTTTCTGTGCCAGGTCTCCTCAAATAAAGCACAGTCCTGGGTGAGTGGACATCTAGCTTTTTATACCCAAACCTAATTTTGCATTTGTTCTTCAGATGCTTCAAGTGAAAACGGTGGGGTGGGGGGCACTTATTTCTGCACTCAGCTTTTGCTCTGCCGTGAACAGCTGGATGGAGGAGGCAGTGTACAATTCCAGAGAGACTGTACAATTCGCTTTTTCTTCCCCTGGGCAACTGACCTGGGGAAAGTAGAATCAGAGTCATTATGTAAATATAATGTATAGAAAAACCTATCGGGGCGTTTTAAATTTTAGCTTTCTTGATATTTAATTATCTCTAACAAAAAAATGAAATTGTTTGTTCTTGCTTATTTATTAATCTTATTTATTGTAGAAAACGGATGGAGGCTTGGGAGGAAGACAGGAGGTGATCTGGGGAACACCCACTCAGCTGGCCTGGGGCGGGGGGGAGGTGGACATTTGCTGCCCTGGAGAACCTGCCCTGACCAAGGGGCTGACCGTCAGCCTCAGCAGGACTGGGTTTCTTCATTGGAGGGAAGCAGACCTCTCTCTGAGGTCAGGTGTGTAAACTGGGCCGTGAAACCCCATGCCATCAGACTGGCTTTCAGTGAGAGGTGGATCGTCACCACCACTGAGGTTCAGGAACCCCACAGCCTGGCCTGGCTGACCTCACGACATGTGGCTGTGCCTGTGAGGCCAGGAACGCTCAGCGGGTGTCCAGGCACACAGACCTGCACAGGGCCCAGAGGAGTGGAATGCCCCAAGCCTCTGGGCTCTCGGAGTCTGAGGAGCCTGCTTGCTGGTGCCATTCTTCATGTGTGGCTCCTAGAAGGTTTGTCCTCGCTGCCAGGGACCCGCTGCCTGCCTGCTGGTTTCGCGTCTCCTCAGAAGCACAGTCTTGCTATTAAAGCTCATTTCAGAAAAGCGGCTCCCTCTTCACTGCCAGCTCCTCACAAGATGTCCCTTACCCCTCCCTGGTGCTCACTGGCAGTGTAGGTGGAACTGTTGGCATCTAAAAGGGTCCAGATCCCAACGTGACAGGTTGAAGACTGAACAGCCTGACCAGACAGGGTCGTCTTCTACCAAAGGATGTGGAGATGGCTGGTGCCTCAGCAGCCGCAGGGGACGGCACCTTGCTCTCGGCTGCTCATTGGGGAGGGTCATGGGGAGTGGCTCATGGGAATGTGTGCCTGTGCTGAGTGCCAGTCTCGTGTTGTCTAGGGTGGTAGTTTAGAAGAGATGAGTGTAAAGTGAATTCTAAAAGGTGATGATCAGGATGGTTATGGGCAGCACTGCCATTCAGAGTGACCACGAAGACACCAGGAGGTGTGCGGCAGCCCTCCTGTTAGCATCCTGCACGGCGGGCACTGAGTCTACCCGCCCTAAGCTGCTCCTCATGAGAGCACTGGCTCCCTCAGGACCATCTCCCACACAGGCCAGGCATTTTCAGAGGAAGGGGCTGTGGTCACGGGGGGCATGTGACCGAGCCTGGACAGCCAGAGCCCACATCTCCCCAGCCAGGAGCATGGACTGGAGGTCGGCAGGTCTAGAGAGAACCCGTGAGGCCTCATGTCCCTGGCATTCGGTGGAAAGGATCCTTGGTAGAGGTGCCGACAAGATGATAGCCTTAAATTGGGATTAGCCATCTGACGACCACATGACGGGACAAAACCTGCCGGAAAATAACTAGCTTCCACACAGGGTCAACGGCGAGCCGGAGAGCGAGCTTGTCAATGACATAAATTGGCTGACTGTTCCTGGAACTGGGGACCCTGCATTTTTCTTTTACACAAGCCAATAAATCCCCTTTTTTCTTAAGACCATTCCATTTAGTCTAATTTTTCATTAGGTGACAATGAAAACTCCTGACTAAAGACCACACATACACACACCTTACACACTCCACGGATGTCTCCACATTCTCTCAACACCTTGGTGACAGAGAGGGAAACTAGCCAGACACTGAACGCCAGGGTGATGACTTCAAACTTGAGGCTGCTAAGTCCAGAGCTTTTAGCTCCTGGGTAAGGACGTGAGAATGGGCAATGGGGCATGGAGATCTGAGAGACCGTCACTACTCCCCTTTGGCCAAGCAGGAGTCATGCAGTGGCCCGGTCACCTCCTACCATGGGATCATGACCCAGAGTCACTCCCAGACTCCTGGGAACTTAAGGTTGGAATTGTACACTGGTTCGGCTGCTGAAGCCGGCCCCCTGTGGAAATGCACCTCCCAGCAGCAGCAGGAGTGATGCAGTCAGGGCTGCAGTGCCAGGCTGGGTCACATGTCCTGTGGCTCTGCCCTCCCTAGGATGCAACCAGTCCATATGGCCAGAAGTGGCTGCCTACCAGCTCCACTCTCAGGCATGGAGTGGGGAGAAAGGAGGGGGAAGATGCACCTCTCCTAAGGCCACAACTTGGAAGCCAGACACATCATTTCTGCTGCAATGGAGGGGCCAACACTTGGTCACATGTCCCCAGTCATCTTAAAATATAGCTTGGAATTGTGTATCAGGTGGCCTGTTAAAAATCCTTCCAGAAATGGGGAAGCCACACACACCTTATTAACTAAGGGATAGAAAAACGGGATATAAATGTGACATCAGATTTCATAAAGAAAACCTCCATTAAATGAGTGGCCCCACATGGAAGTGCCTGTCCCACTCTCCCGCCCTCTCTTGTCCCAGACAGGTTCCCAGGAGCTGAGAATTCTAAGCCAGAGCTCCTTGAACTTCCCCCACCCCTTCCCACAGTTCTCCAAGCAGACTCCTAGTGGTGAACTAGGTACTTCTTCATTCAAGAAAATGTGCAGCACCCTATGGGTGCCAGTGATAAGTGGTGAGCCAGAAGGGCCTGACCCCAGGAGTCTAGTGGGGACTCAAATTCACAAATGTAAACAGTCAAGTCCTGAGAAAGAGGTTACTGGGCCAGGGGAGAGCAGGTATAGCCCAAGAGAGGCAGGGACCCTCCCCTCCTCTAGCCTCCTCCCTCAGTTCTCCTTCTTTCTCCTCCTCTCCTCTCCCCCTCCTCCTCCTTATTCCTTCTCTTCCCTTCTCTCTCCCCCTCCCTCCCTGTCCCCCAAGTCTCATCTGCTGACTATCCCTCAGTCCTCTTCTGTATTCCCTCTACTCAGGGCAGGAATTCTAAGGGTGGATTTTCGTAGTATTGGCTCCTGGACGACACTTCAGGAAAGACCTGAACTGGGAGCTGTGCAATGTTCCTGCTCAAATGCCCTCCTCCAGCCCCCCAAGAGGATCTAGTGTTTGAAGACACAAGGCCAGAGCCGTCTGGTCCTGGCCACAGAACCTTGGCCCGCCAGACCTGCACCCCTCTTAATGCACAGGACCTGCTCAGAGGGGACACCCGGCGCTGGCCTGCTCTCCTCAGACATGCCAGCGCACCCGCTGCTGCCCGCCGCAGCAAGAGGGACTAGGGAACAGCAGCACGAGACGCACCCCCCCGCCCCCGCCTCGAGGTGCGCCCTGCCGTTCCCAGCACCGAGGTCCACGCTGAGCCTCAGGGGACGCAGCCCACAGCACCCGGGACAGAGCCACAGGAGGAGCGAAGTGAACCAGTGAAGGGCACAGAGCAGTGAAGCAGTCAGGGCTCCTCGGCGTTTCCAGACGCAGGCACCGCGAACGGGCCGTCTGGGCCGGGGCTGGGGGAAGGTCACGGAGGCAATCTTCAGCCGGTCCGGTTTTATTCTCATTATGTGGCAATCGAAGTGACAGAGACAGTATTTTTAAAAAGAAATAAAGACGCTGGCCGGGCCCCGCAGCTCAGGGCTGAGCCAGACAGGTCTCCACGGTCTAAAACGGCCCGTGGGGAGGCTTCGACCAACTGCCCCTCCCGCTGAGACTCCCGGCTACCTGGACAGCAGCTCAAGCCCTAGTCCAGGACCGGGTCGCCGTCGCCGCCCGCCGGTCCGCGGCGCCCTCTTGGCCTGCAGCCTGGCAGGAGGAAGAGAGCGGCCGTGGACCTTTCCGCCCAGTGGCCCCAGCCAGGGCTAAGGGGCCGGAGGGACCGCAGCCCGCGCTCCCACCGCCCGAGAGCTCGGGACTGGCAGCCGGGAGCGGGTCTGGAGGGCTTTTGACACCCTGATTACAGAGCGCATGCGCTGGGCTGGGCTTGGGCAGGGCAGGATACCGCTCCCCAGACCTCTCTCCATGCCTCTCTGCCTTCTGGCCAGCAGGGGGCGATCGAAACACGCGGGTGAGAGAACACATTTTTTAAGATGTCACCTTTAAGCCGGGTACCGCCCAGCTTAAAGGTGACATCTTAAAAATCAAGCTGGACAGCTGGGCTGGCAGCAAGGACCCTGCACAGGGTTCGGGACCACGACTGCCCCTCATGATAGCGGTTGTCTCGGCCCATACATCAAATGATCTGAAATACGGGTCCTCCCTGTCCCCAAAGGCCGCCTGGAGCACCTGAGGGAAAGGTTTGTGGGGGGATGGGCCAGCAGCTGTCTGCAGAGGTGCAGGGCACCAATAGCAGCTCGGCCCTGTTGGGCAGAACCTGTGGCCTGTCGTCCTGATGCCCCATTTTGAAAGTCAATATTTAAATTTCCCCCTTTTCTAGTCTAAATTGAAATTCATAAATAATTATCTCCACAATTTCAAATTATCAATTTAATGCTCTAACTATAATAAATGAAATGAAAAGAAAATCCATTTATAATAATATGTATTTCTACACAAGTATTCAAGAATGACTCCAGTTGAAAACCAAAAAAAAAAAGCCCCTGTAGATTTCTCAATGCTCCAGCCCTTGGTAGCCCCAGGCCTCTGAGGTCCTCAGCCCAGCAAGGCAGCTCCCCCCACCACTCCCGGCCACTCACCCTCTGCCTACAGGAGAGCAAGCAGGAGGCCGGGTCCAGACTGGCCTGTTCTTGCTCCATGATGGTCTCATGAGGCATCTGTAGGGACAAACACAGGTGGAGATGGAGCAACTCCCTTGGTGGGAAGGTGCCCAGGATTCCTCAGGTATGCAGAGTCCCCAGCCCACAGCTGCAGAAGGAGCCCAGGAGGGTCAGCAGGGGGAGGAGGGTTCTGACCACTGAACCTGACTATTTCAAGCCAGCACCATCAAGGTCAGAGTTCTTTAGATGACTCACCTGGCCACTTGGGGCGCCCTTTCTTCTCCTCTCTGGTCTCTACTTATGCTAACAGCACAGGTGGTTACACCTGGGAACCCCCAACCCTGTGTTGCCAGTGGGAGCCCTCCAGCCCAGCCCTTCTGGGAGACACAGCCCAGTGCAGGGGACAGAAGAGTTGGACAGCCCTGGGTTCAAATCCAAGCCCTGTGGTCTCTCTGGGTGATAGCAAGTGTTGTAGATCTTCTGCTCTTTGATTTCACCAGTGGTATAATGAGGATGATAAGACTCTCTTTGCCGGGATTTGGGGGCAGGAGGTGCTATGGATCGAACTCAGAGGCACTCAGCCACAGAGCCACATCCCCAGCCCTATTTTGTATTGTATTTAGAGATAGGGTCTCATAGTTGCTTAGCGCCTCCCTTTTGCTGAGGCTGGCTTTGAACTCATGATCCTCCTGTCTCAGACTCCCAGGCCGCTGGGATTACAGGTGTGCTCCACTGCACCCAGCTGCTGGGATATATTGAGCAGAATCTGAAGAGTACCCAGCCCAGGGCAGGAAATATAGCCAATTGCCAGTAAATGGTCCCCTCTTAAACATCTGGAAGGCAACTGGGGAAAGAAGGGATAGGAAATCCTGAAGACCACTCTGCAGTCCAGATCCTTAGCCACAGACTCTGCATCTCAGAAGAGGGAAGCATGATGGCTGGTTGGGAGACTGACATGTGTGCTCTCCAGGGAAGCCCCTCACTGCTCAGCTCCTGCCCGCTGCCGCTAGCCACCCGGAGTTTAGCCCAGGGGCATGCTTGGTCTGGGGGTGGTCGGGGAAGTTGCAGCCTCTACTGTACCACCTGCTGCCTGCTCCTTGGAGGCCACCCTGTGCTTCCGGAGGTGGATGCAGATCTTCCTCCCTGTGACTGGCTGCATTACTACCAAGGGACTGGTGAGGAGGTGGGTCTCCATTTAAAGCAGGGGTTGAGGTTGGGCCTGAGGAGGAGTGTCCCCAGCAGAGTCAACTTCTAGGCAAACTTAAATCTTGTGTTTTGTTTTGTTTTGTGCTTTTTTAGTTGCAAACAGATATCTGCAAGGTTTTGAACCCCTTATGTCTGGAAGATGGGGACTGAGTCTGGGGAAACTTGCACATTCATGGCAGGGCTGGGGACCAATGGGTTCTTCCCAGGAGGACCGGGAAGATTCGGCAGAGACCTACCAGTTCCAGGACGGCCCTAAACAGCAAGTTGAGTGGGAACCGCAGGACATTGAGGCAGGTAGCAGTGTAGAGGTCCGCGTAGCGCATCAGCTGGCTGGAGAAGAGGGTTGGGCGGAAGCCAGAGCGGAACAGGCTGCCCATGGTGCCCTAGCACAGGTGCAGCTCCCGGGTGAACCTCTGGCCAGAGGCGGCACATGAATGAAGACCCCAGCCCACCTTGACCTGCACCCCCATGGCACTGGGTGCCCACCCTCAGGGCAAGCACCCCTGCTCAGACCAGGCCCTCTCTCACCCTCTCCTCCTTGAGGACCCAGGCCTGTGTCCACCTGCAGAGAAAGAGCTCAAGGCTGTAATCCCACAGACAGCACATTTTTGGAATGGGGAGCTCCGTACTTTGCGACTGGCCTCACTCTAGGCTTCCCTCTCAGTGACCTGCCTGGTCCCAGAAAGTGGTCACCCAGGACTGAACCCACAGCCAGACAATAAGAACTTGGGCAGGCCCCCCTGTCCAGCCCCAGGGCCCCCCAGCAGCCCCCCACTGCACAACTGGGCCCCGCTTTCGGGGCCTGGAGAACTAGCTGGGACATTGCCTCCCAGGCCCCAAGGTCACCTATCTCCCCCTCTCTGTGCCCTGATTCCTCATCTGTGAAGGAAGGATGACAGTCCCTGCCAGCCCACCTCCTAAGACTGTGGGGTGAGCAGACGGCTATGCTTCGTGTGTCTCGTGCCTGCAAAACCCCTCATTGTTGGTCCCAGCTGGGCCTGGGATTGCCGGGCCGCTTGACTCCTTTGCCTGAGCTGTGAGAACTGCCCAGCTCTAGTGACGAGTAAGTCCATGAAGCCATGGCAATGTCCTCCCTTCTCTTTTCCCAGGACCCATCAGCTCGCTGGTACTAAATCACGTTTTCTCACACCCCATCTCTGGCCAACAGCAGACTTGGATCATAACTGGGGAGGTGGCCACATGAAGACCCAGCCCAGCAGGCAGGCCCTCCTAGAGAAGGGGCTGAGAAAATGGCAGGACAGAGGGCAGAAACAAGCCTGTGGACTGAGCCCTCCTCAAGAGCACGCCACTGTCGTTTCAGTATTGGCCAGCAGGGGACGCGCTGGACAGCAAGGCCAGATGGCACTGGACAAGGTTGAGGAGACTCAGACAATTGGGCTCCTGGGACTCCTCCCCTACTGGGCTGGTCCCCCTCACTCACCACCCAGCGCTTACTTGAATCTCCTTCTTGATGGAGTTGATGTTTTTTGCGGCCCACAGATGCTTCCATACATATGCCTGGTACAGAGATGGCCATGTGACCCGTGGAGGAGGGGAACATACCTCCCTGGCTGCTGTGGAGGGGCAAGGATACTCACAGGCATCCAGTGGGGGTGCAGGGATGGGGTGTGCACATTTGTGAGTCCATGCTGGGTGGGTTGGGAAAGGCCTAGAGGTCTCAGAAGATGAGTATCTCAAGGGGTCAGCAGGTCCCATAGTCCAGTCTACTAGGGAAGCCCAGCCTGAAACACAGTTGGTTTTCCAGAGCCCTTGGCTCACTTCACTGCCAGGCCTGGTGGGCATGGGACCCTAGCTCTCCACCCCTCTCCTCCCAGCCTCCCGCACCCCCAGAGAGGCCAGAGCTCTTAGTGGTGCAGATCAGCAGGTGTGTGTCCAGGCTCTTCAGCCGCTCTGACCTCTCTGAAAACCAGACAGGGAGCAATAGGGTGAGTGACAGCGGGGTCTGCCAGGCCCCAGCCAGGGGTCTCTGCTCCCCCACCTGTAATATCATGACCCCTTAAGTCAGATTAAGACTTTGCCCAGAGCAAAATAGGGATGACACAGGCTCCGTAGGACAGGTGATCAAGACATCCAGGGAGTCAGGTGACCTTCATGAAGTCACAGGGCAATGACTCAAACCCAGCAACGCTCAGAACAACAGAACAAACATTGTCTTGCTCACAGCACCCCTGCCCCAGGGTGACTTCAAGTACTTCCTGGGTGGGAAAGCCTGTACCTTCTGAACCCAAAGGCCTCGGGCAGAGGGAGGGCCATGTGAGGAAGGAAGTCCCAGCCCCGGAAAAGCCTCACGGATCCGGAGCAAGAAGATGAGGAATGAGTCTCAGCTTGGCACCCACCACCTGGGTGACCTTGAGCAACCGGCTTTACCTCTCTGGTCTGTTTCCTTGTTTTTAAATAGATTCACCTTCAAAAACCACAGAGTGGACAAGATTCCTGGTCGCCACCAACCCCCCAGAGGAAAAGGGGGAAGGAGGTTGGGCAGCGTGGATGACCAGCACCCTCTGCTGGTACTGGTCTCTGTGGCTCACCCTTCTCTCGGGCCCAGATGCCCAGCTCTCGGGACAGCTCAGGAACCACCAGGCAAGTCCGCCAGCCCTGCTGCTTCTTGGATTTGATGATGTCCCCAGAGATGTGGTCCCCAATGTACAGGATGTCCTTCCCCCGCACCCCAAGTAGCTCGCACACCACGTCTCACGAGCCTGCCCCACAGAGGGAGGACACAACTCCTTCCCTGCTGAGGCAGCTTGGGAGATGGACCCTGGCCAAGGTGTGCCTGCGGGACATGGGCACCGCGAGAGCTGTACCTCCAGAGTGGGCAGCACAGTGCTGGGGGGGCCCAGTGTAAGTGCCCACGTGGAGCTTCCCCGAGTCCTAGAGGGCAGAGGTGGGCCTGAGCCAAGGAACCACAGCCCCTGTGCCGGTCAAGAGGACTGGGCAGAGCTGGCAGGAGCAGCCTCGGGGGCAAGGTCGAGGGAGGAAGGATACTGTGGGGCCCTGAAGTACTTCCGTGCCTTCAGGGACAGACAGGGTAGCAGAGGGCAGTGGACACATACAGGTCACATCTAAGAGTGGGCAGTCTCCCCTCCAACCACCTGTCAAGGTAGACAGGACCTCAGCACCTGCCATTATCGTGTTGACCTGTCTCAGGACCATCCCCTCTGCAAAAAAGCAGGGCTTCTGTGTGTCCACCACAATCTGGTCGAAGCAGGACCTCCAGGGCCTGGCTGGGTCCTCAGCCTGTGTGGCAGGGCAGTGGGCAAGGCATGTGCAGACACAGGGGACACACACAGCCTGGGAAACTGGACCCTGCCAATCCCCCGCGGCAGCCTCAGGCAAGATGAGACATCTGTGGGCCCAGGAACCAGGAGATCTCCCCTTACTCAGCACCCCCAACCAAGCTGGGCTTCAGGAGGGGGCCCAACAGGTGCCCTTGGAGGTGGGCATTGGGCATTGTGGGGGTCTTAGATTAGCCTCCAGGGCTCCTCACAGAGCAAAAAGAGAGGCCTAGGGACATGTCACACACAGAGAGACACACACACAGCAAGGCCCAGCCACACCTGTGTCCAGGGTTTGAACTGGTTCCCCTCCCCTGGCCCTCCTTACTCTCACCTCACCTGCCCTACCCCCCCAAGACCTCCCCAAACACCTGACTGCCTCTTATGACCCCCAGGAAGCTGAGAGTAATCCTGCCCTCATCCACCAGGAAGCTCCAGCAAGGCCAGCCATGGAGATGACCACTCACTTGTCTGCCCCTACTCGGAGGAGGCTGGACAGAGGGGAGGCCTGGCCCCTCCTCCCTCGCCCAGCCCCCCCAGCCCAGCCCAGGATACTCACCTCACCAGCAGCAAACAGGTAAGTCGTGGTGGCCTGGCAGGGGCAGGCCGTGGTCAGGGCACAAGCTTGGGCAGAGCCAGGGGGCTACACCTGCCTCTGCCCTCACCCCACTGTGGCCTCCTGGGGCCACGGGTGAGAGACGGTGGGATTGTTCATTCCTCCGAGGCCGTGACTCGGGCCCGAGGTGCCAGCGGGAGTGGGACAGCACACTCACATCCGTGTACTGGTAGCTGCCGTTGGTGGCCAAAAACACCTTCCCAACCTCCTTTATCTTGCCGAGCAGGACAGGGATCCGCGCCTGGCAAAGACGGACGCCTTTCTAGGGTTTCAGCCCCCGGGAGCTGAACAGCCCACTCTCCCAGAGCAGGTGGGCTCCAGGCCGGGGGACCCAGAGCAGCAGCAGATCAGAGCTCCGTGTAACCTCTAGGGAGATGACCAGGGTTGGGCAGCCTGCGCCCTGGAAAAGCAGGAGGACAGCCGCAGCCCCAGACCTGTGGCCACTCACGTCCTGCGCCACGTGTTTCTCCAGGGTCCTCTCTTTGAGACAGCCCTGCAGGAGGCGCAGAGCTTCCATACAGCCTGCCCGTCTCCACCCCGTGCAGGAGGGGCTGGGACCAGGCCACCGTCCTCAGTGGGAGGAGGGCAAAGGCGGCGGGGACTGGGGGCCTCGAGGTTGCCCAGGAAAGCCAAGGGAGGCAGGCAGAGGTCCTGGGGTGCTGGGCCACTCACCGACTGGTGGACGTTATTCATAGCTTCAGTCACATCCTGGGAGAGGCTTCGGAAGGACATGAAGAGGTTCCCATGCTGATAGCCAGTGTCACAGCTGGGACAGGCCAAGAGGACAGAGGAGGCTGGTAAGCAGGCCCGAGGGGACCACCAACACTGACCCTGAGTGGCCCTGCACTGGGCTTACGTCCCAGCCGTTCTGAAGGGACCACTTTGCTGAGCTCCCCTGGGGCAGCACAGGCCACAGGCTTGGGTGCCCCCTGCATGGGCCTTCCTCCTAAGCTCCCAGAGCCCCCCAAGCCCTCAGAAGGGCCTCTGCCCCTTGTGGGGCCCCCTTTGGGGTTTGGCTGCTGGGCAGCAGCAGTGTCCTACTGGTCACCCCAGGGCTGGGCAGGGCAGGGGACGCATTTGGTGTATCGGGAGCAGCCAGCGAAATCGTCCACCAGGCAGCCATAGGTTTCTGGGACGGAGAAGCCAGTCAGTCCCGGCCCAGGAAGTGAGGCAGCCGCCCTCAGGCCAGAGCTGGCAAGGACGCCCCCCCCCCACCGCCCCCAGCAGCCCTCACCGGGCAGGTTGAAGAGCGTGTTGTGGACGTGAAGCGCTGACGGTCATCCCTTTGTATGAACTTGCTGGGGTCAAAGCTCAGACCTCTGCCCTGGGGAGGAGGGGGCTGGGTGCAGCCAACGCTCCCTCCTGGTACCTCCCAGAGGGTGGCCTAGGCCCTGGCCATCCCTTCTATACCTCTAGCCACCCCCACCCCATCCCTTACTCTGAGAGGAGGGTGAAGCCATGGGCAGCCACCAGCATGTCCCCATGGCCAGGCACCTTCAGCAGCTTCCCATAGAGTGCGTCAAACACCAGTCCCCTGGGGATACGGCATGGGGACTGTGGGAGGGGGTGCCAGGGCTGGCCACAGCCTCCCACCTGGCCAAGCTCCCTCACCTGGTGGGGAAGGAGGGGTCGTAGGAGTAGCGCAGGAACTCATGTGGGTACCCAGTGCAAACCAGGCGCTCCAGCACAGCTCAAAGGACAGTGCCTCGAAGGCAGGGGACTGGTAGGCTACAGAGGACCCAGGCAGACCGGACGGTTGGTGCTTAGCTGCCTGCCCCTTCTGCCCAGGCCTCAGGTATCCTGTGCTCCAGCCCCCCCACCAGCCAGGGTGCAGTCCATGACGAAGCTGAGGCACTGGATCTTCCCCAGCGCCAGGCTGCATGGACAAATATCCTGGAGGGGGAAGGGTGTGTTGGGATTCACCCATGAGTCCCTCAGAGTCCCCGACCCTGCTAGTGGGAACCCATCAGAGGGCCCCGGTACCCCTGCAGTGGCAGAAATAAGGGGGAAGTGAGTCAAGCCGGCTAGGGCTCCTTGGGCCCAGAGTGTCCTAGGGCAGGCCAAGCGTGTGAAAGCAGGCCGGAGCACGTGCCCATGGGTCCAGATGTGAGCAGGGAGCCATGCTGCTGACTCCCATGGAGGACACGTCATGCTCCCCCACTCCCAGGGGTGAGGACACACAGCTGTCAGTGTGGGGGCTTGTCACCTCCGGGACTGGAGCCACTGCGTCCAAGGTCAACAGGTTTGGTCAGGGGTGAAGGACAGAGGCCCCTGTGGAGGCAGGAAGAGGTGGGGACTCCCTGTGGGGTGTCTTGTCAGTTTCCGCCTGACAGGGGAACTGCTGGGACCTCTGGAAGGTCTGTCTGTGGGGGTCTCTTCCCACTTGTGAGCTTAGAGGAGCCATTGTGCCACTCTGCCCTGTGGGGGTCCCAGGCCCAGGCCCCCACCAGCCCCTCCCAGTGCCCATCTCACCTCTGGTACCAGTTCTGCATCGGGTCTGGAGAGGCCAGGCCCTTGGAGCCCTGGCTGGGCTCCTGCGGCTCTCCCCTGGCCACAGCGTCTACAGCAGCCATGACCCTGAGGCAGAGGCAGAGGTCCCTCCCCAGCCTCCTGCACACTATCAGCGGGGCTCAGCCACTGCCCTGTCCCTCAGAAGCCTCAGACCCCACTGACCAGCCAGTCCCACTCTGTGCTCCCAGCCCCCTGCCCTCCTCGAAGGGAGGAGCCAGCCAGACAGGCGGGTATCTCCTCTGCTCTGGAGGGTGCAAGAGGGACCAAGGAAAGACAGCTACTCCGGGCGGGCCACCCTGCATGTCTGGGGCTCACGCGTCCAGAAACCTCAATGGCCTGGAAAGTTGAGGCATGTTATAAATAAGGCCGAGGAGTTAGGAGGCAGGACCTGCCGTCACCCCAGACCTCACGATGAGCTCGGACTCTTGTTTCCACAAAATTGTGACACGTCTGGTAATCAAATCTCCCAGCTCAAGGCCAAGGCCACTTCAGAAGAAGTGGCTTCTAGAAGCATGAGGAGGGCTTCAAAAGTGGCCAGACTGCTATCTCAGCATCAAGGAAGCAGGGCCTCCAGGCAGAGTCCCAAACAGCCCAAGGCCCCCAGCACCACCTGCCCAACAAAGCAGCCAGTCCACCCCCAGTTGCCGCTGCAGCGTCCAGAGGCCTGGGTGGGGTGAAGGGAGGCAACCGGGCATGTTTCTCCCTCCAAGATGGCCACACTGCGGGAAGCGAGGCACTGGGAATGGATAAAAGTCATGGGGTGGTCTGCAGGACGGCCCCCCTCGACAGTGGCAGGCCAGCAGCTGCCCGGCTGGAGGGAAGGTCTGGCGGCCGTAGACCGGGCCACTGGGCAGGTGCCTGCATGGGTGCACTCAGGCAAGCAAGGAGGGAGAGACGGATGGACGGATGGACGGCAGACTGTATGTGACAGTCTTCCCTGGGAAGAATCAAGCCTCAGAATCCGAGGGACCCGTGGAGTCCCTTCCACCCCGATTCTGTGCCGACTGCCCACTCCTGCTTCCTCTTTCAGAGCCTTTCCCACGCTGCACGGTTCCTCTTTGTGTCAGAAAAGAGACAGAAGAGGGATGTGTGGTTACAGGTCACCAAGCAGTCCTGCCCCACTGCGACAAAACAGCAGGTGTGACAAGTGTAACCTGCTTCTCCTGTTGCTGGACTTGGGGTGTCCCAGGGACCCTCCATGCACCTGAGGGCAAGGAAGCCATGCGCTGGTGTTGAAGGACACACTGTCCCTCCGTGTTCCTCAGGACACTTCTCCAGGGACTCCCTGGGTTGTGCCAGCCATGCTGGGAGTTGGGAAGGGCGTCACTCGGGGCCTGGAGTGACCTGCATGGGCACCCCCGCCACTCCTCCCGGTGTCGCCGGTCGTCACAGTGGCTGAGTCTCCACTGGGTTGTCACTGGCACAGTCTCTGCTGCCATCTCAGAATACAGCAGACTGCAGAGTCCCTTGAGTAACTGAGGGTGGCCAGGGAGGACCCTGAGCTGTCACAAGGCCATCTCTGAGGCACGGCCACCGGTGTGGGGCTTGCTGAGCTGGACACTCTGGGGGGGGGGGCACAGCAGGACTGAGCCCTGGCAGAGGGGGCGACTTTACCAACTAGGCAAGCCCTGCTTTGCCCACGGCCCCTCACAGAAGTCCTCGGACTCCTCAGGGTTGTGAAAGACAACGGGAGCTGGGGAATGCCCTGGATCAAAGGAGCCATGACAGAGGAGTCCAGCAGCCGCACCCGCCCCAAACCTACGGCGGGCACAGCCAGTGGGCAGGGGGCACCACCGGCTCTGCACACAGGGCAGGAACAGGGAGGATCAGGCAAGGGACCCCACTGCTGTGGCAGTGTGAGAGGCATCCCTGTTCTTGGGCCACAGTCACCAAAGGACTAGGGTAAATGTCACCATGCATGTCACTCACCTTCAGGTGGTTCAGGACAAATGATCCTGCATACCTACTCATGCACATGTGCACACCTGTGGGGTGTGTGTGCACACACATGTGTGTGCATATGGGCTGGGGGTGAATGGTCAAACAGGACAAAATTAACTCACAAACTTTGGTCAAGGATATAAGGATGTCTCTATGCAATTTTTATTTTACAACTTTTCATAACTTTGAAATTATTTTCAAATTTAAACACTTTAAAGAGGGTCTGTGTTCCAGGACACCCCTTGCCCCCTGTCACTGGAGCTCCTCCCTCCCCAGACTCCCCTCTGAGCTCCTGGTGCAGCAGCTCTCTCTGCTGAGGGCAGGGGGACACAGGACCAGCCTGCTCGACACCTCCGACTCCCCCGCGGGGACTGTGCCTGAGAAGTGCCGGGTCGAGTGTGCGCAGCCTCTGCACCTAGCTGCCTGCACTGAGAGAGGTCTCCAGAACAGGGAGCAGGTGTGGGCACGGCTGTCACCCCACACACGTCCTCCAGCTCATCCACAGCAGCCTAGCAACAGGCGACCTCGTCCAGGGGCTGGAGGGGGCTTCGATCCCCTTGAGCTTGGAGAAGCAGAAGCATCCCCAGGAACCGGTTCTTCCAGCCTCCTGACCCAGGGGCAGCTGGCACAGGGAGACCGAGGTGGGGACCACCACAAGGTGGGGACACCAGGAAGTCTACCAGAGGAGCAGCTTTGACAAGGTTCATGGGGATTTCCCGTAGCCAGCAACGGAGCCAGGGCGCTGAGGCAGAAGGACCGGGACGGCGGGGGCTGGCTTCTGGGGCCTGGTCTTACGTCTTCCCCTCTCGTGTGGCCACATCACCAAGTGCATGTTCTGGGGGACGGAGAGGGACAGGCACAGGGTGACCAGAGGTGAATTCCACTAGCTGGGAAGGGCCTGGAGCCAAGTCAAGGCCATGGGGCACCCTGTCCCAGAAACAATTCTGCCCCGCCCAGGGCCAAGGTTGCCCCCTGTGTGGGTGGGGCTGGACATGGAGGGAGAGATCCAGCTAACCGTGCTGGGGTTGCCATGTGAGCTTAAGTGTGCGTGTGAAGGTTGGGGTAGGGTGTGCATGCACATGTGTGAGCATGGATCTATGTGTGTACAAGTATGCGCGTGCTGTGTGAGGGTGCAGGTGGGCATGCTGGCCTGGGGGGCAGAAGGCCTGCTGGTCAGGCTGGAGCCCTGGGGCCTGCCACCTTGGTGAGGGTGGGGTAAACAGGGGACAAGGATGCCACCAACACAGCCTATCCCTGCTATCCTAGGAGAACACAGGTTGGGGACAGGGAGGACAGGGCTGCCCCCAGGCCATCACCCCTGGGCTGCCCCCACCCCATCACATGGGGCCCTCTTTTGGGAGAAATTGCCCCCACCCCAGATCTGGGGCCTTATTCATCCCTGGCTGGGAATCAGAATAGCCTGCAGTCAGCGGCCACTCCACCCAGACTGGTAGTCTGGGGGCCTCAGGACAGGCCTGAGGGCATCAGAGAGGCAGCATGTCCAGACCTGGAGGAATGTGTCCGTCTGGCCCAGGCGGGCAGAGGGCAGGAAGCTTCAGGAGAGCCCAAGGCAAGGTCTGGGCCAAAAAGAAAGGCCATAGCAAACCTGCCGGGCACCCCTGAGGCCTCACCAGGAGGGCCAAGGCAGGGGCACCTCCCAACAGAGACCCCCAACTCACCTCCCAGCAACTGAGGGCGCACAGCTCCGTGCCAGGATTCCAGGGTTGGGCAAGGCGAGCACAGGCCGGAGCACAGGGTCCCAGGCAAAGGGACGCTGCATGGGAGTCCGGGAGACTGTGGACAGGCCCTGCCTGCATGTAAGTCACCGTGTGAGACAGCACATGTGCCCTGCCAGGCACCAGCCACGAGCGCTCAGCAAGGCTCCAAGCTATGAGTAAGATGAATTCCTGGTCCTTTAAGGCACTCACAGTCTCAGAAGGGCAAAGGACGCAGGCACCAGGAGGGACAGTGAACAGGAGGCTTCCAGGGCCAGCTCCTCATCCCGGGGGCCATGCACACGTGTGGCTTCCTCCCTGAGCCCTGTGGGCAGGTGTGACTCCACAGCAGGTGAGACTTCAGATGCTCAGCCCCCAAGCCCAGGAAATGGGAAAAGCTGCATGAAGAAGGTTGTCCGGAAAAAGCAAAGGCTAGGTCAATGTCCAAGTGGGGAAGAGCAAATCAGTTATTTTTAAGATGTGCGCACACACACATGCCCACACACACATGCCTAAGTCGTTATTAGCTATAAACCATTATACAGACTTAGCTAGTTGTGGTTAAGAAGATGAATTCAAACAAAAATGCTTTAGATATGTCATGTGGGTGGGGATAGAACCCCAAATCGTGTTTTCACTGGTGTGCCAACTGTTTACAAAATGCTTACATGAAAGGACTAAAGAAAATAACTCAGTGAACAGTGGGCCTGTCTGGGCAGCAGGATCACACTTAATTTCTTGTCTATAGTGTTTAAATTTTCTGATCTACAGTTCAAAAATGAAAATCAGATGGGATAAAATGACAGAAATTTCAAGAAACATTTATGCTTCATGAAAGGAGCAAAATGCAAACTGATACTGACATTCATTCATTTTTTAAATTAACTAAAAAAACACTCTGCATTTCCTGAGTACCTACCCTGAACAGAATCCAGGCATTAAGCTATCAGTGCTGGGAGACTGCTCCCCTAGACACCAGTACCCAGCACCTGTGTCCTTAGCACTGCCCACAGCAACCAGAGGGCCAGCCCGCCCCTGGGAGAGGATCAGCCAGTCCTCTGAGGGGTAAGAGCAGGCCCAGGAGGCAGCAAGCTGGCCCTCCTGAAGGGTGAGTGGGAGTCCCCAGCAGGCCACCTGGAGAGCTTTCCAGGTGAAGACAGAAGGCAAAACCAGCGAGCTCACACCCGGGCACCCAAGGACTGGGGGCGGGGAGCAAGGCCATATCAGAAGAGCCGCTGAAGAGCCTGACCTTGACCCTGCAGGTGGTGGAGGGTGTGAGGACCCGGTCTGCTGTTGGGAAAGGCGCCTCTGGTGTGGCTGGGAGGGACTGGGAGCCAGCTCTGGCAGGAGCGTGGAGAGCTTGAATGAATGCCTAGGATGGAGGGCGTCTGGCCAGAGTCCTTGGGTTAATCAGGACTTGGGGAGGCTGGAGAGGGAGGAGGCTAGGGTGCCGAGGAGCCCGAGTCTGAGGCCACAGCCCAGACACACCAGCGGGAAGGAAGGGGCCTAGGCAGCAGAAGGCACCACTCCTGAGCTGGGGAGGCCTGGGCTGGGCAGAGTTGGGAGACGCAGCGCTAAGATCCCCGATCTGAAACTTTGGGACAAGATATGTCTCAGAATCCAGCATTTGCTAAGTGTAAGAAGTACCGAGATCTGTTATAGGAGTGTGTGACCACACCCTTCACGGTGCAGCCCTGCCACTCCACAGCCAGGGGATGAAGACTCGTGCCTAACACTGAAGGTCACACACAGCCAGTAAAGAGCTCATGTCCAGGGCAAGCGAGGTTTGCCACCAGGGAGCCTGGAAGGCCTCCCGGTTTTGGGATCTTGGGATTGAGGATGAGGGATATTGCATCGGCACCTCTGGTGGCCAATGACCCTACAACAGGAGGCCCTTTGGGAGAGAGAGCAGGAGACGAGGACAGAGCCCGCGAGTGACCAGGTTAGAGTGGGGCAGGACAGGTCCAGGAGGAGAGGGACCAGGCAGGGGCACAGGACAGAAAGAGCAGGAGGGTCACCACCCCAGGAGCAGGGGCGAGTGCTGCAGAAAGGCCAAGTAGGAAAAGGCCCAGATGACCCCCTCATGTGGCCACAGGGGACATGGGGTGAGGAGGGGCAGAAGTCAAGGGGGGAAGAAGAGAACAGCAAAGTGGTAGCAACCCATGAAAGGTCCACCTCTCAGGAGTCTTAGCAGGAAAGAGCCCAGGTGGTAGCCAGAGTGACAGGCGAGACACCCAGCAGGTCTGTGACTGGGACCTCAGTGAGGCCCAGAGGCTGCAGGAAAGACCGTGCTGACAGGGAACGGTCACACACTCATGATGTCTACACTCACAATCATCCCCAGGGGGACAACCCAAATGCCCACCAGCCCCAGAACAGTAAAGCACAAGCATCAGCATGGAAGAGCATGCGCTGTGGGGTGACAGGGTCCAAGGGGGCCCTGTGGGGAACGGGTGGCCAAGGCAGGGCAGGGCAGTGATGGAGAAGGGACAAGCCTGGCGTCCTCCAAGGGCCATGTGGTGCCACTCAGGGTTCACACTGATGATGGTAAATGGCGAGTTTTGAAAGTGCAGGGTGCCAGACTTTTGTCCACAGGTCTATTTCTATCAGCCCCTCCCCAACTGTCCCCAGTTCCTTCCCCTCACTCCGCTGCAACTCCCTCCAACACTGAGGAGGCTCCTGCACTTGAACACACCACGCCCCACCCCCAGGGCCAACCTGGACAGACTGGAGGGAAGCAGGAGAGGACAGAGCACAGCGGTCAGAAGGGGGCTGCCCTCTGCTCCCCAGCCTTGCCACTCGGTCACACCCGCCCAGCCTCGCCAGACTCCTTTCCCCGGAGGCTCTCCAGGTGCTTGTGCAAATTCAACTTCTGAGAATGCTCCCTGTCCTTCCCTGCTCACCAGCCACTCTTGGGGGCGAATATGTGTGACACAGGACATACCCACCAAGAGCCTGGCACAGCAGAACCAATCATGAGCTAATGAACTGTTATGGTTCCCAAATGGCTAAGATGTCTCCTTCACAAACTTCATTTTCTCTTCAAGAGAACAGACATGCTTCAAGGACCTTGTGAAAGAGCATGGGGATGGCAGTGCACAGGTTTCTCAGACTCACACTGCGCTGGAGCAGCCCGTGCCTGCCTGCCAGCCTCAGAGGACCAGACGGGGAGTCTCCTGGGCCCTCAGCAGCTCAGGCCCAGCCCTTTGCCAAGATTCTAGGTCGGCAGGAGGCTGACCTAATTAAACACTCAGGCTTATTCCTGGACCAGGAGTCCCAGTTAAGGCCCCTGGGCAGCCACCGCACAGAGGCACAGCCCCAGAGGTGACCAAAGTGATTCTTAGTTTTTAAATAGCAGTTGCTTATCCCTGATTATAAAAGTAGTACATATTCATCATAGAATGTTTGGAAAATATGAAAAATACAGAAAAGAAAACGCCAACCAAAGATAATCGCTATTTTTGCTTATTTCCTCCTGGTCTTCTTCCTTTTTGTACATATTGATATATTTGACAACTGAGGGGGTGTTCATTCACACAAGGGAGGGAAAAGAAACCAACTTACAAACTGCACAACCCTGAGTTTGTTATATGAATTTGGACCATCACATATATATATATATATATATATATATATATATATATATATATATATATAGTCCCATATCCTGCTTATTTCACTAATATTAAAATACAAAGATTTTTAATGACTTCATAATATCCACCATATGGAATTTGGCATAAAATATTTCCCCTGCCATGGGACATTTAGGTACTTTCCAGAGTTTCAAATAACTCTATGAACAACCTCTCTCTTTATCTTTGATTCTCTTTAGCTAGACTTTCTACAAATAAAGTTGTTGAGGAACTTTTCATACATTACCAAATGCCTTCCAAGAGCTCGTGGAAATCAACTAACAAGGTATGGGACACCCCAGGCCCACGTATGATCCTGTCCTAACAACCAGAGCTTCTTTACCAAGCAGGTGGTAGATCCAGATCAATTACAGAGGCAACTGTTGGGAGATAAGCTGATCCTCAGAGCCATCTGGGACTTGTGACTAAGCAGAGCCCGGCACTATCTGCCAGCATTAGTCAGCCTTCACTAGGTTAGGCTGCTGCAACAGACAGTCCCAGAAGGTTAGGGGGTTACACATAAGGTTCATTTCTCACCCACATTGCTCAGAAGATATGAGTCAACTGTGACTTTTATTCCATGTCTTCTTCTGAGGCCCAAGCTGAAGGAAAAGCCCAGTACCTACCTACCTCATTCTCAAGGTCAAGGTCAAAGTTACAAACTAGAAGCCTCACTGGCCCTTGAGACTTTCATTTGAAAGTGGCACACATCATTCCCCTCTCTTCCCATTGGCCCAGAGAGTCAGGCCTGAGGCACAGCAGTGTGGGGAGGGAATACAAGCCTCCCACAGGGAGGTGCTGCAGGTCACATGGTGTGGCTCAGTGGTAAAGTGCTTGCCCAGCACACCAAAGGTCCTGGGTCCATCCCCATCACCAGCAAGGAAATCAGAATGTTCTCACCAAGCGGCCCAATAACACCCGGGAACAAGCGCACAACCAACCAACCACAGTTACGAATAGTCGGAAACAAGGCTTGGTGTCCTGGTACCAAGCCTGACACCAGGAATGCTGGCAACCACAATCCCTCTCCATGCTGGACAATCCCATGTACCGGAAACCTCTCTAGCCCCTGGGGAAGGGGACTGCCCAGGCTTTCCCTTCATGTGAATACATTTTTTAAAAATGCATGAGATGTGTGTGTTTATGAGCATATATTTACAAATAGCTCCATCAAAAATGGGAAAGGATGGCTGGTCGCGGTGGTGCACGCCTGTAATCTCAGGGGCTTGGGAGGCTGAGGCAGGAGGATCTCAAGTTCAAAGCCATTCTCAGCAACTTATTGAGACCCTGTCTAAATAAAAAATAAAAAGGACTGGGGATGTGCTCGATGGTTAAGCACCCCTAGGTTCAATCCCCTGTACCAAACATATATTAACAGATAAAAATATGTTAAATTTTTTAAAAGGCAAAAGTAAAGTTTTGTGTATAATGGGCCACCATTTACTATTAAAAGGGGAGACTACATATACACTGAGGCTTATTTGTTTGTAGATGTTTCCCAAAAGACCAGTAAGAAAGCTGGAGACAGTGCCTGTTTTAGGGAAGAGAACCAGGGAGGAGGGGCTGACTTCCCACCAGGCACTCTGCTTTATAGCTCATGATATTGTTACCTTTCCCAAAAAAAGTTCTTTTTAATTTAAATTCTTTTAATTGTCCTTTCTCACTGATGTCCTGTGGTCTCTCTATTTTTTCTCCATTGCTCCCAGATTGGGACATGCCCTGATTCCCATACCTGGAGCCTGAGGAAGTAGAGTTTCCAGAAAGCCCTGGAAAACCCAAGAAGAACTACCAACAATTGCAAAGCAAAAAGAAAGCTCCATCTGCCAGGTACGGTGGACACCCCTGTGATTCCAGTGGTTCAGGAGGCTGAGGAAGGAGGATCGTGAGTTCAAAGCCAGCCTTGGCAACTTAGGGAGGCCCTAAGCAACTGAGCAAGACCCTGTCTCTAAATAAACTATAAAATAGGGCTGGGGATGTGGCTCGGTGGTTAAGCACCCCTGGGTTCAATCCCTTGTACCAAAAAAAAACAAAAGCAAGCCAGCTCTGTCCGGCCAAGCTACCTCACATGGTGCACACACTGGCTCCCACCTGCAGGACAGGCCGCTCTGGGTAAGGGGAGGTGGAGGGAGGGGCTGGCTCACTCTTGCATGAGTCAGTCTCATCCCTGGGAGGAAGTGGAGAGAAGGGTGGCCAGGAGGGACAGAGGGATGGCAGCAACATGCCAAAGAGGGCCAGCGCTGGGGACCAGGACCCTCCACACACGGCCGCCGCTGGCTGAGACATTCACACCAGCCCCCTCCCCTTGTCTCCCCCCTCCCCCACACCTTCAAAAGAGGATCCCAAACCCCTGGAGCTGGAAGGGGCCGGTGGGCAGCTCCCTTTGCAGAAACCCAGCAGGCTGCCACTTGCCATCTGCAGGTGAGGAACAGGGACAGCACTGTGGACAGGAGCTGGAGGCCACACTCCTCAGGAGACAGTGGAGATACCGGAGGTGCCTCAGGTTTCTAGAGACATGGATCAGAGTTTCAGCCTGGGCCTCCAGGTCTAGGCCCACAGTGGTCACTGGGTGTCGTATGGGGAATGTCCTTGCCTGAATGGAGGCACCGTCAGCACCCTGCTGCAGGGACAGCTGGGGACACTGGAGTCCTTGGAGGCCTCGTACAAACCCTTGCCAGAACCAAGAGGCTTGGGGAAACGTGGTGGCACAGCCCACTGGGCACTCCGTCACCAAGGTGCTGATCTGGACAAATGGCAGGGTCACCTGTTGGAGTGCACAGGGGAAGAGCCATGCGCAGAGGGACAGGCCCAGGTCACATCGCCAGAACTTGAGGTCAGGGAAGGCTCAGTGAAACAAAGACCACAGCACTGGGTTTGGTGAACTCCCCAGTGGGAACGCAGGACCTCTAGGGGCTTTAATGTCCTCACACACATCATGAATCCCCTCCAGGGAAACACAGTGGAGGGCATCTCTCAAATTCCCTGGACGACAGAATTGTTCATTTCAGATCCGTTTCCAGATCTAGCCTGGGCTCCAAAGTCTGCCCCCAGCTGTTAACTGTGGAGCCCCGGGCAGCAGGACTCAGGGCCAAGGGCCCATCACATCCTACTTCACAATCTTTCATTTCATGTCTTTAAAACAACAAGTGTGCATCCCTTTTTAGATTCATATACCTGTAGTAGACAGGACCCTTTGGGGACAGACTTGAGAGAAGAGGCATCTTAGCTGTCTTGTTGGATATTGTACCCACAGTGCCCACAGTGACTGGCACATGGTGGGTGCTCAGTGAACGTTAGTCAGATGAACCAGCTCTGAGAAGAAGACAGAGATAGAGACGGAAAGACGACTCAGACTGAAAGGACTAGCCAGCACAAGGAAGAACAGCCTCACGCTTTTAAAACTGAAGAGAAAAGAGGCGCTGAATAGAGCTTTAAAGTGATGAATTAAACAGTGACATATGGGCTGGGGCTGGGGCCAGAGGCAGAGCGCTCGCCAGGCATGCAGAGGCACTGGGTTCGGGCCTCACAACCACATGAATGTAAAATACAGATATGTGTCCACCTAAAACTAAAAAAAATAAATAAATAAAAAGAAAACGCCAGGGCCAGGGGAGACCAGGCCAAGAGGTCAGAGCCAAGCCCAGGCCCAGGAAGACCACTGACCAGGACCGCCATCCAGAACCCGCAGGGAACTCTTAACCGAGCAGCCAGCTCTAAAGTGGGCAGCAGGCCTGATGGACACCTGCCAGACGGGAGGAGCCGCGCAGGTGGGCCCAAAGGCCTGAACACCACAGGCCGGGGAAAGCCAGCCAGAGGCAGGCAGCAAAAAACACTGGCGAGGGCGCGCGATGCCCCTGGCCGCAGGCAGCTTCCAAAAGGAGGCCAACAAGCCCCAGGGCCAGGGCTTGGGAGCCCCCCACCCGCCCCAGGGGCTGCTCAGGAAAACCTACCAGCCAGCAAAGCCCCACCTGACATGCTGGCTGCGGAGCGCAGTAGGCGCTAACCCGTCCATCTCCGTTGGCGGAGCGCGGAGCCCCTCGGAGGCAGCCTCAGCTCTGACTCCAGACAACCTCAAAGACAGGCTGCGCCGCAGCACCGCACTGTTCACACCGTTTACACCGTTCACACAGTTCCCAGCAGCAACACAAGGAGTGGGAGCCAAGGTAGCCGGGCGGGGTGGGGCAGGAGCCCCCGGGATGGAACACTGTGCACACACACCACACACACACACACCACGCACACACACCATGCACACACCACACACTACACACCACCACGTGCATACCATGCACACACACCATGCACACGCCACCACGTACACGCAACCGCGTGCACACCATGCACACAACACCACACACACACCACCGTGTGCACACCATGCACACACCCACCATGCACACACCATGCACACACCACCACACCTATGCCACCGCATGCACACCATGCACACACACACCAGGCATACACGGAAACTATACAAAGGATCATGTCTGGATTACAGTGGGTTCACAGTAGAAATAATTTCATTTTCTCAAGAGTCAAATATCCTGTTCAAAATTAACCCAGGCTGGTGAAAGGGGTCTTGCTAAGCGGGGAGAACTTTCTGGAATCCCCAACTCAAAGTCCCCAGCATTCACTAACTGAGCCCTCAGGCTCACGTTCACTTCTTTCCTGGGCACTTCCATCATCCCTCCAGTGACCCACCCTCCCTCTACCTTCCCCTCTCTGACCTGCCCATTCACAACCCACCCAGGCAGAATCACAGGACCAGCCAGGCGTGGTGGCTCACGCCTGTGATCCCAGCAAGTCGCAGGCTGAGGCGGGAGGATTCAAATTCAAGGCCGCAGCAAGGCAGGATGCCGCTCAGAGGTAGAATGCTCCTGGGTCCATCCCCGGTACCAGAAAGGAAGGGAAAGGAACCACAGGACCCGAGAGAGATGGACCACATCATTCAGGGCTGAATGGTTCTGGCATCTTCTGAATAACACTCAGAGACTGGGGATCTGAAGAGAGAGCAAAGCAGTTTCAGGCAGGGGAACGGCATGTCTGGGCTGGCTCTGGTCATAGCCTCCAGATAAGTGCAGGGGAGAGGGAGGCCTGGGACAGGCCGAGTGGACCTGCTGCTGGGGTGAACATCTATGGAGCAGCTAGGCAGCAGCCGAGGTGGCCCAAAGCAGGGAGTATGCACAGCAGGCCCCGAGGTGGCCCAAGGCAAGGGGATGTACACAGCAGGTCCTGAGGTAGCCCAAGGCAGGGGGTGTGCACAGCAGGCCCCATGGTGGCCCAAGGCAGGGGGGTGTGCAGAGCAGGTCTTGCAGTGGCCCAAGGCAGAGGGGTGTGCACAGCAGGCCCCAAGGACCTGGGAAGTGGCTCCTGTGGTTACAGTTGCTGCCCCGGTTGCTGCAGAAGCCAGAGGCCAAGTCCAGGCTTGCTGGTCCCTAGCAACATGAGCTCTGCCACTCCAGTCCAGCCACAGAAACTGGCTGGTGTGAGTCAGGTGTCTCTGGAATGTGTGGGCGTGGGCCATGCTTCTCTGGCTCCAGCCTCACGCCGCACCAAGTCCAGCAGAGCCCAAGTCTTCTGACCTGGAACAGGGAATTCACCAGGAGGAAGGTGAGTGGGTGCTGGGAGCTCAGAGGACAAACACCTTCTCTCCAGTCCAGTAGCAAAAGGACTGACCTCCAAGCCTGTCACTAGCAATGTGATTTGAATTGCTCAGTCTTTTTTTAAGTGGCTAAAAGATATTGTGCCACACTGTTAAGTTCCCAGCACCGTTTCCTCGAATTTAGCCATTTGTGGGTTCCACCAAGGCTCCCAGCTCCCAGGAATGGCTAGTCACAGCGGCATAGGACGTGGAGAGCCCTAGGGACATGGTTCCTGTTTGTTGGACATTTCTCATGACAGATCTCTTGCCAAGCCTCATTCTGCACGTCCACCCATGAGGCACGCGGGACTCGGCAGGAAGCAGCCCCTGGGAGGCTACCCAGCCCACCAGGCCTCCCACTAAGGTGCCAGGGACAGGAACTCTTCTCCAATTGGGCTGAGCAATATCCCTTCTTACACAGTGAGAGGACACAGCACTGTTGGAGTTCCTAAAGCCCACGGGAGAAGACGTTCTCGAGAAGTCACTGTCTGTTCACTGTCAGCCATCAAGACAAGAAGGCAGAGTGCTGGTGTGCAGGATGGACTTGGCTCCTATCGACCTTCAGAGCAAGGGGCCAGCCATTGTGCACTCACGGAAAACACGCATGTCTTGGTCCTTCTCATGTGTATACATGGCGGGGACAGAATCATTAAACCCAACAGCCGGGTTTCTTCACCACCTCCTGGGGAGGAAGGGCATTTCACAGGGGACAGAGCATGATGGGAACCTAGAAGAGAGAGTGAGACTTTGGAGACACCCGAGGGACGGCATTTTTGAGGAGTTTGCGGAGTGTATCTCAGAAGGCGATTTTCATCATTTAGGGACACCCAGCAGCTGAAGCCCTGTCTGTGTCAGAGGAACCCGTCTTCAGGAGTCAGGAGGTCCTCACAGCTGGCACCTAGGATTCAGAGCAGCTGCTACAGGCTGCAGCTACCGGCACTGTGCCCTTCTAACCAGACCCCTGGACCTCGGGGCGTGGGGCTGCTCTTGCCTGAAGAGCCCCGGGACCATGAGCAGCCAGGGTCTGCAAGCACCCATGTTGTCCAGCAGGACATGAGCTGCACGCTGTCCTTGGCGCTCTCAGGGGACCTTCACGGAGACCCGGGGAGACTAGGCCAGTTTGGAAGTGGAGCCAGGTCATTTCCTCTGGCCATGTCACTGTGCTCAGGCAAGAACAGGAAGCCAGGTTTTACTCAGGTTACAGACGACCTGTGTCTTGGGCGTTGTGACCACGGAAGGAGACCCACCAGCTGGTTCCCAGAGGCTGCCCCTGAGAAAAGAGGAGGACGGAGAGAAGAAGGCATTTTGCTTTGAATTTTTTCCTTGAATTCTTTTTAACCATATTCATGTATTATTTTTTCCAAAGTTTAAAAATACTTATTTAAAAAAAGAAATGTAATGTCTACAAGTATATCAGTTTCTACATAAAAGATAAAGCAAAATATTCATTTTGGCAAAAAGCAGAGCCTTTGGAAGAGGCAGGTGGTAAGGACTTGGTAGTCTGCTAACATCAGCTGGGAATCTTAATTTGGTGAGCTCTCGGGACTGCTTGCATGGCTTTTTGTGTATTTTTTCCCCTTATTTGGCATGTCTTGAGGTTGTTTTATGATACTTATGCGATAAATGATTACTTTTAAGTAATATTAAACAACAGCAGAAGAGGTCCTCTGCTCTACTCTTCAGCAAGGATGGGGTGGGGAAAAGCCCCAGTCCGCAGGGAGAGGCAGGAACTAGAAAACCCAGCACGTTCCTAGACCTCCAACAGCCCTGAGGGTCATGCCATTGGTCTAAAAGACCATCTGTTGCAAGGACAAACATAAGAGAGATATTGAAAAACTGTGCAGCCTGGGAAACTTAGCAAGACCACATCTCAAAATGAAAAGGGTTGGAGATCTCATTGGTAGAACACCCCAGGTTCAGCCCCCAGGACCACACACACAAAAAACCCCCAAATGTGGTATGCCCGTACGATGAAATGTTATTCACCAACCAAAAGGGAAATACTCAGTGCCCTGGGCTTACTCTCCAGTGAAAGAAGGGGAGAGAGAGAGAGAGGGAAAGGAGGGGGGAAGAAGGAGCCGCAGAAGCAGAGAGGGATGACAAGAGCAGAGGGAAGCTGGGGAGTGATGAAACTTTCTCTTGATTGTGCTGAGGTTTACAATTTTTAGTCAGAATGGAAGTACTTTATTGTACATGAAGTGTACCTCCATAAAGTTGATGTTAGAAAATAATGGAAGAGCGCGATATTGGCCCATTATATTGTTATATTGGGTGCATGCAAATAGGTGGCAACAAATCCCAAATCCCATCATCATGGACAACTATAATGCTCCAATAAAAAAAAGTGTGGAAAGAAAAAAAATTAGTAAGTGGAGGAAGGGTTTTGAGTGGGAGCCTGGCGTCAGGTTCACTCAGTGTGCAAGCTCAATGGCACTGAGGAGTGGTGCAGCCGGGTGACCCTCGTTGGGCCAGCTGCATCCAGGACACACTAGACTGAGGGCCACTCCTAGCATCTAAGAGAAGAGCAAACACAGCTTCTGTCCATCTGTCTCCCCACAGCCTTGGTGCGGGCACCCAAGGAGCCCAGGCCAGCTGGGCAGGTGATGTCACTCTCCTCTCTCAGCCCCGAATGCAGGTCCCAGGCAGCTGGGAAAGGGGGTGACATGCTCACTTTGATCCCTGAGGAATGCCCACTGCCTGGCACGGAGCCTCGTCACTAGAGAGCCAGCTGTGTGGGCCGTCCAGGGGTCCACTGCTTCAGATTCAATGTCTGTCGCCACAGCGAGATGTAGGGGACAGCAGGTGACATGGGAAGCTGGCCAGCCCTGGGCAGTGGGAGCAGAGTCCTGCCTGTCCCCGGCTCTGGGTGGGGAGAGAGGCCAGTGAGGCCCTCCACTCACTGTGTCACGCCTCACCCTCGGGCAGCAGTGGAGAGGGAAGCCAGGCCCCATGCACCACTGACCATAGGAGCCTGGGATGAAAGACCGTGCAGCCCACCCCAACCACCACGAGCACTTACTTCAAAAGGCAGGAGAGGCCCTGAGCAGAGGGTGAGAAGGCACCGAGGAACCCCCCAACCCTGGTACAAAACGCAAATTAGTCCAGAGGGGACGCATACAGCAAGCTCCAGCTGCTTCCAGCTCCCGGCCGCCCAAGGGGGTTCACATGTGTAGGACTAAGAAGGGGGCTTTGGGCTGAGGACTGATAATATTTTATCCAGGGAATTGAAAACAGCAAGGGCAGCTGGGCATGGTGGCGCACGTAATCCCAGCAGCTTGGGAGGCTGAGGCAGGAGGATCTCAAGTTCAAAGCCAGCCTCGGCAACTTAGCGAGGCCCTAAGCAACTCAGCAAGACCCTGCCTCTAAATAAAAAATAAAAAGGGCTGGAGATGTGGCTCAGTGGTTAAGTGCCCCTGGATACAATCCCTAGTACCAAAACCAAAAAACAAACCAGTAAGGGCGCTGGGTGAGAAGAGTCTCAGAATCTCCAAAGATGAATATCGGTTGCAGCTGAGTCAAAAGAAAATGAGTAATGAGTACCCTGATCAGTCAGAACCATGTCCTACATGCATGTGTCGCCTCCGGTGTTTAAACTCAAACATTTGACCTTCACAGTGACCTCAAAGATAAGAAGCACACTATCCAGGCTCAAGTTCAGCTGGAAAACCTTACGCCCATTCAGAAAAGCACTTTAAATACAATCCATCCATTAATACTGCCTGACAGTGTTAGAACTGGCTGTGCTACTAAAATGTCTTTGTGATGTTTGCGGAGATTTTCTCCGAGTGGCTGTGCTGCTGGGACTCCATTGCCAGTCCCTCCCCAGCAATTCAGCAGCAGGCTGTTCAGATGTACGTGACCCTGGGCTTACAATTTTGTCTATGAAGCTGAGAGTTGATGGTTGGGCAGAATCTTCTTCTGTAAAAGCTGATGAAATTCATGATCACCTGGAGGAGGTGGCTGGTCCAGGGAGGACTGAGGCCTGTCAGCCTTCCACAACGGGAGCTGTGACTGTGGGCAATGGGAGGGCCTCAGACACGCAGCCCCACCCTGCAAGCAGGAGGATGGAAGCTGCAGAGGCAGAAGTGAAGGGCATGCTCCAAAGACTGAAAGCCGAGACTGCCTCAGACTTCTTCCTTTGAAATCTTAGAAGAGCATTCTTTTCTTATCACAAAGCAGCATCTTCTAGAAATTTTCAAAAATTGCAGAAAATCAGCAAACAAGAGCCCACGATTCCCCCAACTAGAGAGAAGTCTACCAACTGACTGGTACCCTTTCCTAAAGAGTCCTTTTTCCATTCCTGTGAACATTTTCCACACTTTTTTCCTCTTACAAAAATGTGACACTATTACAATGTCTTATAATTTGTTTTTCCTCTTCTGAATAAATTGCAAGCATTCTTCCAAGGCAGATGCCCCTCCGCACTTTGATGACAGTGTCATTAATGCCTCGAGCTATTCCATCAAGTGGACGTGTGACCAATCCCTGATTCTGGGGCACTTAGGTTTTTCTCCAGTCTTTCTGGGTTGACAATGCTACACTGACCCCTCTTGAAGGGGTTTGGTTTGGGCTTTGGGGGTTTTGTTTGTTTGTTTTTCACTTTCATGATTATTTCCTTTTTAAGGCTGTGATATCGACAACCGCTCTTCCAGATGTTCTATCTTGATACCACCCACCAATACACAGAGTAGCCATTTCTTCAACCCACCCTAACATAGAGGTGATTTCATATTTTTTTCTTTTCCAGTTTAATAGGTAACATTTCTGATTATCTGCTTACCAAAGAAAATTGAACATGTTCATGGCTGGCTTGCCATATATATTTGTTTTAACAATCTTCCTAGTTGTGCATTTCCTTTGTTCATTTTCTTATTGCACTGTTTTCTTAATTATTTATAACAGCTCTTTGCATTGAGAAAATTAATCCATTGTCTCACAGGTTACAGCCCTGGCTGGTTTTTTATATTGCCTGTATTGTCCTTTTGCATAGTTACGGAGTAAACTCTGTTAGTATTTCCCTCATCATTTCTTTTTTTTAGTTGTCAATGGACACAATGTCTTTATTAATTCTTGTGTGGTGCTGGGATCAAACCCAGGCCTCACATGGGAGTAAGCACTCTCCTCTGAGCCCCAGCCCAGCCCCTCCCTCCTCCTTTCTGCACACCATGAGGATAAAAATGTGTCTGTATTTTCTTCCAAATCTCTTTAAAGAACTTAAGGATTCCACTTATTAAAGTGTATTTTTAATAACTTGAATCATTTTAGCTGCAGAGGGTTCCGAGGCCTTTCCTCCTCTGAGGTGATTCACCAGCTCTCGATTCCTCCCAGGGTCCCTCAGAGTGACATGCTTGCCATGGGGCTGGGTGGCCCTGTTGTGGGTGTCTGTGCATCACAGGGGTAGCAGCACCCTGGTCTCCATCACACCTGCTGCATCCCCCGGCTGTGACAACCAAACCACCCCACCCTTGAGCCACGTGTCCCCAAGGAAGCAAAAGATGCCCCCATTGAGACCACTGACTGGAAATGCCACTCACCCCACAGTACATTCTTAGACATAAGGTATGCTTGGTTCTGTTCCAGAACTTTCTACTCAGTTCCAATAAGATGACGCCTACTCTTGAACTCATAGTTCCAAACAGTTTTTATTGTGTGGTTTTGTATTAACTTTTAAATCAGTTTACATTCTTGTTTTCCCAGCCACTCTTTCTTTTCTAATCCTCCACAGAGTAGACTTAATCTCATGGAACCTGGGTGGGGTGGGGGCACCTTTGTGTCCCTGCTGCTGGCGGGCAGGCTGTGCACATGGGAGGGGCTGGCAGGACAGCTGCCGGAGGCTGATAGAAGGGAGGGTGCCGGACAGGGCCTGGGAACTGAAAGGAAAGTGACCACAACACTCGGAGCAACCAAAAGATCTTTATTGCAGCAGTGCAACAAAGAGAAAGGAAAGAAGGAAAGAGAGAGAGAGAAAAGAGAAGAGATGAACAGGGAGAGAGCAAGAGCAAGAGAGAGACAGAGAGCGTGCGTAAGAAAGATAAAGAGCAAGAGAGAGAGAGCAAGAGAGAAAGAGCAAGAGAGAGGGGGGCCTGGCAGGAGGGAGTTTTTATAGCCCAAATCTAATGGGGCCTCTGGGTCTGCAAGCTGCCTTGTTGGCCCAAGGGGGCATTAAGTGTTCAGCCTTGAGCAGGGTTGAATGTTCAGACTTGAGGCAAACAGGTGATAAAGGACCAGATATAGGGGGGTTTGAGTGCGTGGGCTATCTTGCAGCCAACATCTGTTCAGCCTGCCCTGCAGACAACACAGTTCAGCCTGCTCTGCACCCAACAGGAACCCTGCCCGGGATCATCAAGTGAGACCAGAGGAAGGAGGACAGAACAAGAGCAGGACGAGGGCTAGGGCTCTGAACCCTG